AGGAGGGAGCATGGCATGTAACAAATGGATAGGGGGCCCCAGACTCCTAGCAGGAGGGGGCAGGGCTCCACCAGGGTAAGGGCCTGGGCAGACTGGCACATGGGAGGCTGTCAGATACCCAAACCTGCAAGCTGCTACCTGTGAGGAAGGTTGTATCAGTGTAGTTGCTGGCCAGTCCCGTGGCTGCAGCTGGGTGCAGAGAAGAAATAGCACCCTGTCCAGCACAGGAGACTTGTGTGTGGCCACTGAAAGTACTGGAGGCTGCAGGCCCAGGGTAGGGAGCATGAGACCCCATGGTGGGGAGGGAGGACAGAGTGCCGGCCAGGAGGAAGCCAGGGACAGGGGGAGGGGCCAGAGAACTTGGGAGCTGGGCCTGATGGGGGACAGAGAGGCAGTGTCCCTGGTGCACATCAGGGTTGGGAGACGCCAGGGTCATTTTGGATTTGTTGACCAGGAGCCACACAAGTTCCTCCTGGAACTCTGCCCACCTGCCGGTGGCAGCATTTGCTTGCCTGCTTATCTGCTTTGAGAACCACTTCCTGGAGGTACAATGCATGTACGGTGTGGTCCAGCCAGCTAGCACGGGCTCTGTAGGATCCGCAGAGCCCCAGCTGTCACAGCTGGCAGGGCTTTTGTCACCCCCAGCAAGCCTTGCCCCCTTTCGCCATTGCCCTGCCCCCATGGCTCTCAGCCCCAGGCGATTACTGATCTGCTTTCCATCAGCTTGCCTCTTCTGGGTACTCAGTATAAATAGAATCCCAGATCACGTGGTCTTTTGTGGCTGACTTCTCAGTGTCGCTTCTCTCTGTGGCAGCCTGTATCAGAGCTTCATTCCTTTTGGGGGCTGAGTGATATCTTATCATACAGATGGACCATATTTTATCTACCCAGTCAGCCGTCGAGGGACAGTTGGGCTATTGTCCCTTTGGGGCTGTTGTTAAGGGTAGTGGGGTGAGCATTCATTTTTGTTTCAGTGCCTCTTTTCAGCCCTTGGGTAGGTGCTAGGAGGGGAATTGCTGGGTCACGTGATAGTTGTGTTGAGCACTTGGAGGGAGGGCCCGACTGCTTTCCAGAGGCACCCCCCTCCCATTTTACTTCCCGGCCAGCAGAGCCAGACTTCTGGTATCTCACTTTTGAATCTAGCCCTCCTAGGGCAGTAGGGCAGGGGGAACGTGGTGGTTTGGATTTGCATTTCCCTGACCACTGATGACCTTGGGCATTTGTACATTGCCTTTGACAAAATGGCTGCTCAGGTCCCCTGTTTTTTAATGGGGTCATTTGCATTTTTATTACTGAGTTGTAAGTGTTCGTTATATATTCTAGATAGGAGTCCTTATCAGAGATAGGATTTGCAAATATTTTCTCCCACTTTAGGGTTGCCTTTCCACTTTCATGACAGTGTCCTTCAAAACACAAAAGTTTTTTGTCATTTTTTTTTTTTTTTATATTTAGTTATTTGGTCTGGTTTGGTTTGGTTTTGGGTTGGTTAGTTTGTTTTTCCCAGTAATCTCCACACCCAACCTGGGGCTTTAACCTACAACTGGGAGACCCAAAATCTCGTGTGGCACCAACTGAGCCAGCCAGGTGCCCTGAAGCACGGAAGTTTTAAGTTTTAATGTAGTCCAGTTTATTTTTTCTTTTGTTGCCTGTGCTTTTTTTTTTTTTTTTTAAGATTTTAAGTCCTCACTACATCCAGTGTGGGGTTCAAACTCACAGCCCCAAGATCAAGAGTTGCATGTTCCACTGACTGAGTCAGCGCAGCGCCCCCACGGTCCTTTTTTTTAATGTGACACCTGTGAAACCACTGCCTAACCCAGCACCATATGTTCGAAAGACTGCTCTCTCCCCATTGCGTGGGCTTCCACACCATGTAAAAATCCATTGACCATGAAGAGGAGGGTGGTGTCGGGTTTTGTCCCCTGCCCACTCCCAGCTGAGCAGCCATGGGCAGGTCATTTCCCTCCAAGACTCTGTCTTCCTCATTTGTGAAGTGGGCCTAGTAGTGTTTCCTGGCTTTTGTGTCATGCAAGGGCATAAAAGTGAGATCACAGCAAGACAGCCCTACAAGCTGCAGCCCAGGGCCCTCTGTCACCTCAGCTACGGCCCTCCCCTCCCTGGGCTCTGTGTCCCCACCTGGACTCTGCAAGAAGGTAGGAGCATCTTGGGGTCCCAGGTGACCGACCTTGAAGCCGTGATGTGGAATCCTCTCAGAGGAGGAATGGGAGGCAAGGTGGCTCTCCCGCCTTTGTGTTTGTCCCAGATCCGAGGCAGGCCTGCTGGCCCAAAGCCCATTCTTACAGGGTTGGATCGAGCAGTTCTTATTTTAGAACAAACCCACAGGAGTGGAATCTTCCCAGAGCCAAGGGGAGGTAAACAAAGGGGCCTCCAGAACCTACTCACGAGCTCTTGTTTAAATTAAGAGGAAAACATGTTTTGCTCCCCTCAGCATGGGCTTGGCGCCTTTCATGTCTGTCCTCCTGAGGAAGGCGGCAGCTGGGAGGCCTTGAGGTGCGGGATGATGTTTGGGTCTGTGGCTGGGTGGTTTAGGATTGCCAAACCACGGCCCTGGCTGCAGAACAGCTGTTAGGAGCTGCTGAGGAGGCTCGGCCTCGGGGAACCTCGGGTGGGAGCTTGGCGCATCCACTGGCCTCTGAGTCACCAGCACAAGCTTGGGCTTCGGGGACTAGCTTCAGCAGCAGGAAGTGAACCCCACTACTGCAGAGGAGCCGGGGGGAGCCCTGGGTTGTGGTGAGAGCCTTAGCCCATGTCTGCTCACGTTCCTTGAGACTCTGGGATGAGGAGAAGAACGCGAGGTAGGCCAGAGCTGGCCCTCGGCTGCTATGTGCCCACTGGACGCCCCTCTCCAGTGGGCCACTCACACAACCTTGAGCACCGGTTACAGGGAGACTCTGTGACAAGGCTCCTGGCCCCTGGGGAGCCCCTTCCCAACGCCAACATAGTGGGCATAAGTTGGCTGGTTTAAATAACAGCAAAGCTCTGAAAAGTTCCCATAGCCGTGATATTGTTCCTGGTTTCCAGATGAAATATCAAAACCCAACAATGCCCGATCAGAGTGAACAGTGTTCTGCAGGGGGGCAGACTTGTGATAGGGCTGCAGTGGAGTGGGCTGGCCTTCTTGGGGTGCTGAGCCTCGGGGGATAGGTGCAGGCTACCCAGCTGGAGAAGAGAGAAAGGGCCTGGTGAGGCGGTGGTGGTGACAGGGGGAGGGGCTGGGAGAGGTCACTGTGAGGACCATGCTCTGAGGCTTGGAAACCAAGGCCTGGAGAGGTGGCAGCTCAGCTGTGTCCTCCCTCCCATGGTGTCTGCTCCTCCCCTTCTCCCCGTGCCCATGCTGTGTCTCCTTGGCAAGAAGGGGCTTAGGTGGCCATCAGAGTGGTCATTTAGAGGCTATGGAGTGTAGTGATTTGGGGACAAGGGTCCCAGGCCCAACTGTCTACCTTAGGCAAATAGCCCAGTTCTCTGGGGCTTAGTTGGGCCGGTGAAGTGGGCTGAAGGGCAAGTGTGCAGAATATTCAGGAATAGGCCGGCCCAGCAGCCTTCAGTGGGATGAGGCATCGAGGCTGGTGGGTCCTGGCCCTGGACACTGAGTAGGATAGACTGCCTTCCCCTGCCTCCCCAGCAACGCTGGTCACGGGGAATGCCCTCTCCAGGCTTATAGACAGAGACACCTAGGCAGCAATCAAGAGCCTGTTTGAGAGTGCTTTGAAGAGAGGCTGTTGTTGGGCGGTGGGGGTGGGGGGGGCTGGCATCTCCAGTGATTCTGCCTTGAGGTCTGAGTGACAGGTGATGACCGGGCCACTCCTCTCAGGAGTGCTGTTCTGAGGAGCCAGGCCTAGTAGGGAGGAGACAGAGGAGGTAGCAGGAAAGGCGTGGGCCTTCCTGCCATGGCCTGGCTCCAGCATTCTGGCAGGGGGTGGACACTGTTTCTGGGGGCGTTTCTAGCTGCTACTCTGTGAACTCAGCAGTCACTACCCCCCCACCCCACCCCACCCCGGCCCACAGTGAGAACCCCCTACCCACGGTGGAGATTGCCATCCGGAACACAGGGGATGCTGACCAGTGGTGCCCGCTGCTGGAGACTCTGACAGACGCTGAGATGGAAAAGAAGATCCGCGACCAGGACAGGAACACAAGGTATCCACACCCCCACCCCTCCAGGTCCCTTACAGCTGGCTCTGACCAAAGGCACTGTCTTGAAGGCAGGTGAGGGATGTGGTGACCTGGTTTTATTGGAAACCAAGTTGCCAAAGGCAGGTCCCTGGGTGGGTTTCCCTGCAGGGAACAAAAATAAGCCCTCGGGTTGGGTCTGACCACAGTCCAGACCTACACATCTGGAGCCCTGGAGAGGTAGGCGGGACCTGAGCAAGCTGGAGAGAGGGCAGACTCAGGGCCTCCAGCAGCAGACAGGCCCAGGCCGAGTGGGGATAGGGATCCTCCCTCTTATCATCCATGTCCTATCTCTGTCCCCACTCCCCCGGCTGCACTAGAGATCCCTGGGGGGCTCTGGGTCACTCCTTCTCTCCTCCTGCAGGCGTATGAGGCGTCTTGCCAACACTGCCCCAGCCTGGTAACCAGCCTGTCGGTGCATGGCTCCCACGGAGCGTTCAGAAGATCGGACCGCCTCTCCTTCATCTGGCAAGGCAGGAGGCAAAGGGGGCAGGCCGGGGCCATCCTGAGGAGCATGGAGTGTGGGGAGGGCTTTCGGTCACCCTCCCCTGGGCACACATTCCAGTTTCTGAGCCCTAGTCCCCACCCAAGTCCCTGGTCAGAAAGAGCCCTCATTTTTGGATTGTGTTTTGTTTTTGTATAGGAGCCCCAGGTAGGGCTAGCAACACTTTTTAAATAAAGACAACAGGTCATGTTCCATTTTTTCAAAGTGGTAGCATAAAAATAAGAAAGGGGATGAGGAGCAGGGTCTAGCTGGATGGTGTGTGGCCAAGGCCAGCACACCAGGCCTCTCCCCCTTCTTTGCCTCAGAGCCCCAGGCGGGCAGGTGGGGGCTAATAAGGCTGCATCCAAGGCCCTCAGGCCCTCAGCCCGCTACCCACCACCTGTGCCATCCTCCAAGGAACAGAAGTGAGGCCGTGAGGTTCAGAGGGCGGGGGCCGGCTTACCTGTCAGCGACAGCCCCACCCTATTCCAGCTCCACCCCAGCTAGAGCCCTGAGCCAGGCCAGCAGCTCTCTCAGGTGGGTCTCAAGGAGTAAGACACGTGGAGCGGCACGCCTGCCTGGGGCTGGGGTGGGGGGCTGTGGTGTGTCGAGAAGGGAGGCACAGCCCTGGGCCTCTCCTCAGCTCTGCATCCTTGTCCCATGGGGAAGTGTCCCCACTCTACAGAAGGCATGAGGGCTCCACAAGGGTGGCACGTGCGGGTCTCCTCACGGAGCCAAGCAGTGCTTGGTGAACTGAGCCCATGGCTGCAGTCTTGCCGAAAAGAACAGATCCCAACACCAGGCAGCTGCCATTAGCTGCTGCTGTGTCTTCCCTGTTGGGTCAGGGCAGCTCTGCTCCCTGGGCATGGCAGGAGCATGGTGCCACCTGGCTCCCAACCTGAGCCCCACACTGGCCAAGGGCAGAGCTCTTGAGTAGGAATTGGGGTCTTGGTTGCCAGGATATAAGGGTAGATGGGCCTGGCCCTCTGGGCTGGGGGTCCTGTGATCATGTCCTGGGACATGACAGCTCCTAGCTCCTGGGGAGTTTGTACTCAGGCCCACTGCCCTTCATCCAGGAGTGCAACTTGCTGGAGCGAAGTTGGGCTTCACTGGAAGGCCCTGAACAAAGAGGAAGATTTCAGGACTGGGCTCCCCTGGCCTTGGAGACAAGTGGGCTCCATTGCTGAAGGGTTTGCTTGGTCCATGTGCCCCTGCAACTGGTGGGATGGACTGAATACTGCCCGCCTCCGCCCCTCTGGGCAACCCAGCCCAGTGCTCCTACAGAGCCAGCTGCAACTCCACATGGGTTTCCCTACAAAATTAAGGTCAGACTCCATGATGAATACTTGTGTCATCCGTGAATGTGACAGCCTAGGGCTGGAGGAACGCCTTTGCTGCTGATCATCCAGGAATCAACTATAATTCTGACTAGTCTAGGGCAATGAGGAAAGTAGGCCAGGCTGTCTGGTATCCGCTTTACCAAAGAAAAAAGTGAGCTGTGGTATCAGATCAGGCTCCCATGTCCTCAGCTACAAACATCAGGGAGAAAACTTTGCAGAACTCTGCCAAGGTGAAAATTTCTCAAAGCTTTGGGGTTGCAGAAAGGGCAGAGGACCCCGGTCCTGGACCTCTCCTGCACCTGACTTCATGGAGCCTCGGCCAAGTACCTTGGCTGCTCAGCTGGAAAATGGGGCAAAGGTCCCCTTGTTGCCCGTGAGGGACAGAAAGAGCCAAGTGAGGCATCAGCCTGAGGGTACCATGGGCAGGAGCCCCTAGACCTGGCATGATGGGAACATCCCAGTCCTGGCCCCAGCCAATGAGACCTGGTCAACCCCCTTGCTGCCCGGCCTGGAGCAGAGATCAGTGCAGGTGGGATTTGCCCAAGGCTCCATCAAGGTGTTGGCAAAGCTGGAGTAAGAACCCTGAGTATGCCATCTGTGAGCTCAAAGCTGCTGGGCAACTGTGGGCAGGTTCTTGACCCCCTTTGCGCCTCCCATCCTACCACCTACAATTGGTCTGAGAGGGCAGGCCAGGATTGGTGGCCCTAGGTCAAGGCCAGCAACACCTGCCCAGCTCTATGGAAGGATGTGGCCAGCCAAGGCAGGGAGCCAGTGCTGCGGGCAATGAGATACAGGTCATTCTGTTTATTTGGGTGGGCCCTGGGCACCAGCCCAGTCTCCAGGACAGGTTGCTCTCCTGTAATCGGGAGTTAGGGGTAGAATGGAGGCCTGCCAGAGGCCAGGAAAACAGGCTGGCCCTGGGTAGGGTCATTGCTGCAGGGGTCCTGGCTCCTCCTCCGGGAGGGGCAGGTAATTGGGGTCCTCCTGTGGGGCATCCAGTAGCAGCTTCCTGTAGGGAGGGGCCCACATTGAGCTGAGGCCAGCGGGCATTCCCACTGGTTCAGGGAGCCATCTGAGGGAGGGTAGCAGAATTATCTCTAGCACTCACAGGAAACTGGGGGTCAGCAGCAGCCTCTTGCCTCCAGGCTGGTTGGGGAAGACGTCCTCTAGGAAGTAGTAAATGTGGCCCACGGCAATCCCTGTAGGAGAACCCTGGATGGCTGAGGCCACTCTCCAGGGTCCAGAGCCCGAGGCCCTCACAGCCTACTCCCTGCCTCCATGAGCAGGCAGGCCAAGCAACCTCAGGCCCCAGAGTATGAGTACCCAATGTTCTGCACAGACTGCCAGCACAGGGTTGACCTTGAAGGACAGGCTTACCTGGCCCAGAAGTGGGCAGGACGTGGGGAGGGGAGGGCCCGAGAACATGGGAGGAATAGGAGCCAAGGCTGGCACCTTGACACACCTATCCCCATCCCTGGTCAGGACCCACATGAGCATCAATACACCCGAATATGGGGAGCCCATAGCTGGCTGGGTTGTTCAGGGGCTGGGAGAACAAAGGAGCTAAAAGGTCCGGAAGAGGGGGTGGGAGGACAGGTGAGTGTCCTCCCAAAGACCATCAGGTACTAGATGGCCTGTTTGGGGAGGGCGGATGCACAGGCAGGCTTACCCAGCAGGTCCACGAGAATTGAGTTGCCCAACAGCAGAGAGAAACCCATGAGCGCCCAGGGCAGGAATGGTGCCTGGAAGGTGAGGAGGCCGAAGAAGTTGACTCTCACTTGGGGGTTGCGGCGGCTCCATACATACACCAGCATGACTGTGAGTGCCTGGCCCAAGAAGAACAGGCTGCCCAGGAGCCCCAGCAGCTGAGCCAGAGTCAAGGTGCTGGAGGCCTTCTCCTGGTGCAGGCCTCAGAGCTCCTGCCCAGGGCCCCTCCGACTTGCTAACGCCCTGGAATCATCCCGTTTCCCTTTCCTCATCACCCCTCTGTGCCCTTCCGATCAAGGCCACACTATGGCCTCAGGCCCCACAAGTGATCTGCCCTTCTTGTCCACCCCCAGCCTCCAAACACTGCCCGTCATTGCCCCAGTTTCTCCTGACAATGGGCATGCAGGGCTCAGCCCCCAAGCACGCCCCCCGGCTCCCCTGCACATTGCCCTGTAGTATTTTGTGTACAGCACTGAAGAGCTGGCGCTGACATCCGGAGCTGAGTCCCCTATGTACAGTAAATACATCCTAAACTAGAGGGAGCGACTCTGTCGCTCACCGACCAACACAGTCTGGACCAGAGGCACTGCGGCCTTTAGTTTCAGAGCCCGGGAAAGGATACGGTCATGAGGACACCCCCGAAAAGGAACATGAAGACAAAGTCGGCCGTGCGGCCGCGGAACGAGCCCTCCTCCAGCATGCGGCAGTAGCGGAACCTGCGGCGACCGTAAAGGAAGTGCCACCAGGCAGAGCCTCAGTTTCCCCACAGCGCGCATCCCCCAGCCCGGCGACCCGCCCACCGCCCCACGCTTGGGTCCGCGCAGTGCAGGATACACGAAGAGCATGTTGAAGAAGAAGCTGAATCCCAGCGGCCCAAAGAAGAGGAAGTTGGTGACGAGCCTCCAGACCTACAGAGATGGGAAGGAAGGCGGGCGGTCAGGCGCAGGGCCGGCAGGGCCCGGCTGTCAGGTGCCATGGGCGGGGCCGCCTCACCTGGAACTTCCGGAACACGAGGTGTGGGTTGAAATAGAGCTGGAAGGGGCTGAGGAGCTCCAGCTGCTGCGGAACCAGGGACGCGTTAGGTGGTGCCCCCGGGAACGCAGCGGTAACCATGACGACACCCCTCCCGGACTGCAGCCACGGAGATGCCCCCACCCGTCTAGCCAGCTTACCACAGCAGCGGTGGTAAGGACGCAGGCCGAGGTGTAGGCCCGCGTCACCGCGGGCACCTGCAGGAACTCGGCCATCAGCCCCTGCCACGCCATTGAAACTTCTTTGACACGCGTGGCCCAACCTGCAGCGCGCTCTTTAACCCGCCTACAAGGCCCGCCTCACTCTCGAATTCGGCCAATCCGCGTCGGAGGCGCCGCGCGCCCAGGGTCGAGGGAGGGACCCTGGGCCCGGTATCCAGTAGGAGGAGGCAGCGGGAAGCCGGGGGCGGGACAGGGGAGTGGGCGGGTCGGAACTCGGGACCAAAGAACAGGCCCCACGGTTGAGCACGTGGCGGTTGTTGTGATGGCTGGCGTGGCGGCGCGGGAGAACGTGTGACCAATAAGGAACGGGTCGCTTCGCGGCCAGCTAGAGAGAACCAATAGCGAGGACGCACAAGATTTTGGGGGCGGGACTGAGGCTACTCCGCGAGTGAAGAGGAGAAAAGACCGCGGAACTGCGAGACCGGAAGGGGCGGGGTCACACTGGGCGGTGGGCAAGGCGGAACCGACGGGAGTCTGGTCTTGGAGGCTCTGTGAGTCCACCTAGCGCCGCCAAAGACTTGGTCCCGTCCTTTTCTCCTACTGACAACCAAACACAGTGCCACCTGACCCTTAACAGAAGAGGCGCTCAGCACTGTGTCCAACCACCCCACCCCCGTACCCTCCTGCAGTCCACTTGACCCCACGCCAACTCCTGCGGGCAGCCTTCGAACTCAAAACGCCAGAGTGCCAACACCGGCCAGAGCAAGTGAACGGGCTGGAGAGGAATTCTTCATTTTTTTTTTTCTTTAAGATTTTATTTATTTGGCAGAGAGTACGTGCACAAGCGGGGGGAGCCGGGAGGATCCCCCACGGAGCAGGGAGCCCGACTGGGGTGGGGGGGCTTGATTCCAGGACCCTGAGATCATGACCTGTACTGAAGGCAGACGTCTTAACCAGCTGAGCCACCCAGGCACCCCGTTTTCATCATTTTGATGGAAAAGAGAAACTCCATTTATTCATTCATTAAGTCCACTGTTTACTGAACACAGATTGTGTGCCAGGCGCTTTTCTGGATGTGGGAGATACAGCAGCCAAGAAAAGATGAGGAGACGGGTAGTCATAGGCCCGTACTAATATGAGAGCTTGTGTTCCCACAACAGTAAACTGACACAAATAATGCCAAGACTGGAGGGTTGGGTCGTGAGCCATCCCTGCAGGTGGGGTGATTTGAGAAGCCTCTGCAAACAAGTGATGAGCAAGTGACGCTTGACTGTCACTTTAAAAAGACCCCTGTGGCTGCTGCAAGGACAGTAGACTGCCTGAAGAATCAGCGAGTCAGGGGAGACTGCAAGGCACAATGGTGTCTTGGGCAGGGTGGAGCCTGGAGGGTGGGGGAAGGGTGGGAGGTGCTTTTGCCCATTGATGGGACAGAGCTGTGAGAAAGCAATCAAGGGTGACTAGAAGGTCTGAGCCACAGGTCGGATGGATGGTGGTGGCCTTTACCAAGATGAAAAACGCTTGGGGAAAAGGAGAGCAGATGGAATCCCATTATGGCCCTGTTGAGTTTGGGGCATCTCTGTGACTTCCACCTGGAGAAATCTAAGGGTGGTGTTGGGGGAGAGATTGGCCAGGCAGTCCAGTTGTGGATATCAGTCCTCTGTACACCAGTGGCCTGTGTAGTCTTGGGCCCGTGTGAGGCATCCACGGGGTAAGGCTAAAGGGAGAGGAAGTGAGGCCCTGCCTGGGCGGCTTACCGTTCAGTGGTCAGAGAAGGCAGACCTGGCCAGGGAGGCCCGGGGAGGCTGGAGAGGGCTTCTAGATGCTGAGCCAAGAAAGGGCTTCAGGAGCAAGGCAGTGAGAAGCTCACAGAGATGAGGCCCGGGAATGGTGGGATGCAGCCGTGCCAAAGCCCCTGTGGCCAGGATACTGGAGGATAGGAGGAAGAGGAAGGTGCCCAAACAGATGTGACTTTACCAACATGGGGAGCTCAGGTGTGGACGTAACTGTAGAAGACAAGGAATGCCCTGGACCAGAGCACTGAGGTCCCCCGAGGAGACTGGAAAGGCTGAGAACCAGCTGACAGAGTTATCTCAGGTGGATCCTGAGAAAACAAGGGTGCTGAGAGGGGTTCCCTAAGGAGTGGCTCAAAGAGTCCCCAGGGGACAGGAGCAGAGGGAGAGGCTGAAAGCATGAAAGGGCGCTGTGCATTTGGCTCCGGAGTGAGAACAGGTCTGGCCTGATAACAGTGCGAATTGGATTTAACATGCTGAGAGTTTGGGTGGTGGGACCCCCCCCTTTAGATGGCCTCCATTGTCCAGCAAAGCAGGCCAAGGTCATGTTTGAGGTGGGCCCAGTGGAGTAGATCCCATCTGGGTGGAGGCAGGGCTGCAGACGCCAGGGCTGGCACCTGCCAGGTAGGAAAGCCATCCTGGGAGGTCAGGTTTCATGCCCGTGTGGGGAAGTGGGGGTATTCCTGCCTCCAGGCACCCAGCAAGCTCTAGGCCCTCCACTCAGGGTCAGGCCAGGGCTAATAGGAGGGGCTGTCATTGTGGACAGGGGCATCTGTCTCCCCTCTGATTGGGGCTGATAAGGCAGGCACCTCGCTTAGGGACAGACAGAGAAGCACATTCCCCGGGGAGCCCGGGAGGCTGGGACAGGTGGGGACATCCAGGGGAACAGTGGCTGGATTTTAGAGCAGATGCTCCCTCCTCAGAACCCTAGCTATTCTCAGAGGGGGAAACTGAGCCCCAGTAGGAGGCACAGCAGGGCCTGAGGCAGACCTCCGTCACCAGTCCAGGCTCTTCCCGTCAGTTGCAGGCCCACGGCGGTTCCACTTCTCGCCTCAGGCACCTTCAGACAGTTATTTAGGGAGAGGAACCCTGGACTCCCCGTGGTCCCAGGGGCATAGAGATGTGGGCAGGCAGCCTGATGTCTATGTGGCTGCTGGTCTGAAGTGGGGGTTGGGGGGTGAGGGGTGCCAGCTGGGCCCACCCTCCCTCTTGGGCTGAGGATGAAGCTGAAGGAGGGCCTGTGGTCCCTGGGCCAGGTGACAACGAGCCCTGCTCCTTAAGCTGCCTCTCTGACCTTGCTGTGTTTTCCTTTTGACATGAATCTGCCCCCTTCAGACCCTGGGCCTCCTCCATCACGGGGGGGCTTTCCCTCAGGGGCTGGGAGCTCAGTGCCAACCCCCTACTGGGCCCCCAACTGTGGTGGGAAGACTGCCCCCACAACTCCACCCAGCCCCTCCCAGGAGCATCTGTGTCCCCGTTGGCCCTTCCTGTCTGGGTCATGGTGTATTTTTAGCACCGAATCCGGAACCTACTCTGCAGCAGCTGCCTGTGGCCGGAGTGCAAGAACAATAAACCGTCCAGGTGGGCTCTGTCAGGCCAGGGCTGGCCCTCTGAGCTTGGTAGCAGATTCCAGGCTTTCCAGGAATTAGCAGGTCTCTGGGGTGGATGGGAAGGGAGGAGGCAGTTTGGGGCTGAGGAAGAGTAGCATGAGCCAGGCACATCTGGGGAACAGTCTGTGCAAAGGTCCTGAGGTGCCATGGTGCGGGTACAGAGAGAGGCAGAAGGCATGGCAAGGAAGAGGGGCTGTATGCACTGTGAGGCTGAGCAGGGCTGTAGAGGCTGCGGTCCCTGCCCCGAAGGGCAATGAGGAGCCTTCTGAGAGTTTTCAGCCTGGTGGTACATGCCAGTCAGATGGCAGCTCTCGGGAGGAAGAAGGAGAGAAGAAGAGAAGCACTCATCTGAGTGGAGAAGGATGGCAGCCAGCCTGCATTAGGGGTGAGTGACAGAGGAAGGAGGTGGAAGCCACAAACCTTCGTGACTGATTGGCAGAGAGGTGAGTGTTGGGAAGGGCCAGGTTTCGGAGGGAAACCTCCCACTGGCTTGGGACATGTCAATTCAGGTGCTGTGGGACATGACCACCTCAGGGAAGCCCTCCCTCCCTGGCCACCCCAGCTTGGTTCTCCCAGCCCCTTGTCACCTACAGCACGGGTAGGTGCTCTCAGCTCACCATGCTCTCTATCCCTGGAAGGCCTCAGTGACCTTTGAGCCTCAAGAAGGCCGAGACCTGTGCTCCAGTGCTGGATCTGTGGCCTGGGGGCTGGCACTGAGACCTGACCCTGCCAAGTGGGCCTCTGTGTCCCGGTCTGTGAAATGGGCTAGAGGGAAGAGCCCATCTGTAGAGCCTCCTTCACCTGTAGTCTGTCCTGCTGTGGGGAGTATCAGACTCCTGGGACACAGGCGGGCCCCCCCTCGACCCCCGCAAGGCTGGTCTCTACCCTGAAAGAGCGAGAATGCACCAAGGCAGGACTCTCTCCCTGAGGCTGGTTTTCTCGCCTGCCTTCTCCCGGTCCAGAGCTCTCCCAGGGCTGCAGTGGGGAACATTCACAGAGGAACATTCACAGAGGCCTCAAGGGCCTGGGAGGAAGGCAGTAGGGTCTGGCTCTGGTGGGGATATGGGGAAAGATACTGACATTGTGCAGGGAAGGGCCAAGAGTCGTGGGCTTGCTGAGGAAGGACTGCCGGGTGGGCAGGAAGACTCTGGACAAGGACAGTGGAGAGGGCACCAAGGCCAGGAGAATGACTTGAGCAAAGGTGTTGAAACATGGAGAATCCATGTCTCGGGCCACCTGGGTGGCTCAGTCGTTAAGCATCTGCCTTCGGCTCAGGTCATGATCCCAGGGTCCTGGAATCGAGCCCTGTATTGGGCTCCCTGCTCAGGAGGGAGCCTGCTTCTTTTTCTCCTGCTCCCCCTGCTTGTGCTCTTTCTTTCATTCTGTCAAACAAATGAATAAAATCTTCAAATTAAAAAAAAAAAAAAAAGAATCCATGTCTCACGGAGGCAAGGACAAGTGGGGGCCTGAGAGCCAAGGTTGGAGCCAGTCGCCACGGTCAGAACAGTGGCTCAGTGACCCCCTCACCGGATTCTGCACCACTCACTGAAGCCCCTCAGTGGGTTCCTGGACCCAGTTCCGATGCATGTGTGTGGGGCGTGTGTGTGTGCTCAAGCTTCCCCACACCCACAAGCAACCAGACCTCAACAGGGTGTCCGAGAATTCCACTCAATTCTAACACTCCACCCTGAGATAGCATCAGATTCCACAGGCTAAGGGCTCAGTCC